TGAAAGTGAAACGTCAAATAGTTGCAATATTGTTAATCTGTTATTAAGCTTCCAAAACTAAAAATAATAATAATAAAAAATAAAATAAACCATAGCATGGAGGCTTCATTCCTCGCATAACTGCGAATGGAAATGTGCTTCATGAATAAAAACTTGCTGTCAACATATATCGCGTTCAAAATACCGGAGCATATGGTGTGTGATTATCTGTATTGTCAAATGCAATGAAGTGGATTTGGCTATAATAAAAAATGTAATATTTTGGAAATTTGATAATAAACAATGCGGGAATTGACAGCAGTGATTCTCGGAGATGAAGAAATGGAAGGTGCATAATGTAGACCTGGGAATAGTTTCCCTCACAAAATGGATTCACATATTGAATTTATTTGAAAGCAACGCAGGGCATTTGGTTGGTGAAAAATATATTAAATACTTCAAAGTTGACGTTCCGTCAGTTTTAATCAAAACTCTTAAAGAATGTAGGATTTAATCAATTCATCAGTTATTTCCTCCAGATGGGATACTTATTAGATCTTTGGGGTGTTTTTTGTGTTAGCTATTGTCTAAGGTACATTTGGAATACCTGAGCTAACTTTGACAAGTGACATATTAATATTTACACATATGTATTACTGCAAGCTGCACACGTGGGGGGGGGGGGAAATGATGTGGGGAAAATGCTAGCAGAAGTTTTGATGAGATCCATTGTAGTTCTATCCAGTTTCAACAAAGTCATATCCTTTCCATCAACTTCTAAAGAATGGTGGCTAAAGAGATGGGCATCTGGTATTCTCTGCTTTCCTGTAATTGGAGCAGTGACCCACAGGAACAATAATTAGCAAACTCCTTTGAGTGATTAGCATGGTTTTTAACAAGAAATGAGCTATTCTCTGTTGACCAAATTAGATATTTAGATGCCATGCCCTGTCCCTGACAATTGTAAGGACAAATGCTCACCATTTTGAGAATCTGGGCTCTTCCAGGGGTCTTCTTGGACTTGTCTGTCTCCCGTACCTGTTGATCTTTTTTCTCCTCAGCATTGTTGTTTTCTAGTCCATCTTTAACTCAAGTCATAGGTCCAAAATGTGCACATTTCTGACAGTCTGTTGTGCTCTCCTAGTACTCATCTCTAAATACAAATTTTGAAGGTATCCGTCTTCTCAATATGAAGAAATGTTGATTTAACTTGTGTTTTTTATTGTCATAGGAATATTTTTATCCTTCATGCATTTCTTGTTGCAACCAGGATGATTAGGGGACTGGAGACTAAAACATATGAAGAACGGTTACAGGAACTGGGCATGGCTAGTCTAGTGAAGAGAAGGACCAGGGGAGACATGATAGCAGCCTTCCAATATTTGAGGGGCTGCCACAGAGAGGAAGGGGTCAAGCTATTCTCCAAGACACCTGAAGGCCAGACAAGGAATAATGGATGGAAACTGAACAAGGAGAGATTCAACCTGGAAATAAGGAGAAACTTTCTGACAGTGAGAACAATCACTCAATGGAACAGAAGTTGCCCTCGGAAGTTGTGGGAGCGCCATCACTTGAGACTTTCAAGAAGAGATTGGACTGCCATCTGTCAGAAATGGTGTAGGGTCTCCTGCTTGGGCAGGGGGTTGGACTAGATGACCTACAAGGTTCCTTCCAACTCTGATTATCTGTTATCTGTTCTCAATAGGCAGTCAGTCACTAGAATTAATCTCTTGTTTACTTCTCTCGTGCTCTGCACATTTTTAGTTGTTCTTGTCCTCAAGAAGATCAATATATAGTAACTACTGGGTTTCATTATCAAATGTGAATTCTCAAAGCATACTACAGTAGTTGGTATTACCATAGTCATCTTAATATGAACTCTGATTTTCTTTACTTTTGACTCTTCTAAGCCTGTTTTCTCTTCTAACAAAAAAAGTGTCATTTGTGTTAGTTAAAAATCTCACAATTTTTATTCCGGTTGTCATCTCTTCTGATGCTGTCAATCAATCTTATAAACATATTCATTGTACAAGTTAAAGAGTTATGTGTCCTTATTTTCCTCACTTGATAATGCCAAACCCACTGTCTCTCCAGATTCAGTTCTAACAGTAGCTTCTGGTTCATTGCAAAGCTTCCTCTGACAAATAATCAGACATTCTGGTACATCCATTGGCCTTAATATATTCTGATGTTGGCTTGATCTCCATAATCAAAGACTTTGCTTAGTTAGTAAAGCTAATCTCTTTATTCTTCTGCTTCTTTCATCATTCATCTTATCTTAGCTATCTGATATCCTGTTCCACAGGTGGGGAGCTGTGACCTTTTCATGACCCATGGACTTCAACTCCCAGAATCCTGAGCTAGCATGGCTGAGTCAGGAATTCTGAGACTGGAAGTCCACAAGTCATAAAGGGACCATAGTTCCCCAACTCTGCTCTGAAGGTAAAGATTTCCCTGTTCGGTCGTGTGCAACTGTAGGGTGCGATGCTCATCTCCATTTCTTGGCCAACGGAGCCAGCATTGTCTGAAGACATTTTCTGTGGTCATTTGGCCAGCATGACTATACACCAACACTGTTCGCATCCCACCGAAGTGGTATCTATTTATCTACTTACATTAGCATGCTTTCAGACTGCTAGGTGGGCAGGATTTGTGACAGGAATGGGAGTTCACCACATTGCGCAATGCTCGGCTCTTGAACCTGGGCTGTCAGCTTTCCAGTTGTCAGCTATCAGCTTTCTATCTTCTAACAGTTCCTCTATCTTTCATGAAACCTGTTGTTTGTCCTCCAGAATTTCTGCCTCTACAGTTCCTTGGGTGTGATTTTTCTCCAAGAGGGGACAGCTGGCACAGCTGGATTTAGATAGGCAGCTGAAGCACATAGGTAGGACCTGAAAAGTGCTTTTTTTCAAAAGGCAACTGGACTTTGTTTTTCCTTGAAGACCTTTCACTTCTCATCCAAGAAGCTGTTCAGACTGTCATGTCCCTGGTGGAGACTGACTCTGAGGGAGAGGAGGAACAGCCGACAGGGAGTTGAAGTGTGGCTCCGGAGGTTGTGGAGGAGGCTGGGGAAGGGCACAGGCCGGCTGAGCAGTCAGAGGAGGACCCAGGCCCATCCCCTCTCCATCCTAGGGCACACAGGGAGGAGAGGATAAGGGAGAGACATGGTCTACTCGGGAGGAGAGGGCCTTGATCCTCTTCATGGGCTGCAGCTGTGACAACTGAATAAGAGGACAGACATGCGTACGGGCAAATGCTGGAAACGAAGCGTGGAAATATCTCTAGTTTATTGTTCCTCTCCGAGTTTGGCGTCCTTCCCAGTATGTGTTCTGTTATCTGTGGACGTCCTCCAGCCCTTATCTTGCCTGGTTTGTGTTGCTTTTTTCCTTCTTCTTGTAACCGTTTGTGTGGGAGTTTTTTGTCTTCCCTTCAAGGATATTTGGAGCTTGGAAGCAAAGTGAAGGAATAAAAGGGGCTTCACCTGTTTTCTGTGACTGTGTTTGTTTTGTATCCCACCCTGGGTCCTCACAAGAACTAGGAAGACATCGAGACAGCAATAGGAAGGCAGTGGGGGATTTGGTGTGATTTTTCATTAAATTTTTATCTTTGTCCTCCCCATCCAAGACTGAATTGAAAGTTTATTGGCCCCTTCCTGATTACTGCTCAATCAGCCTAATGGCCTTCCATGTCTAATTGCCCAATTCTACGAAAATACATCTGGTATTTCAACACTGTCTCCTTGTGGGAGGAATCTTCCTGTGCCTTGCATTCAGCAGCTCCTTGGAAGCTCAACATTGGTAAAACTACCGTATCAAGGTATCATCCCCTGGGCAAAGTTATCTGTAAATTATCATTCAAAGATTGAGAACCCTCTCCCTTCTCAATCTTGATTAATCCTGACAGTAGAAACTTGCAGATCTAGTGCCTTTCTGAATTAATTAATTATCATCCCTCTGTAGCAGTGTTTTTTTCCCCCTTTTCTTATCTTGCTTTCTGGTGCTTTGGAAAATAGGCTGACCCCTTCTTCTTTGTGGAAGCCCCTCAAATAAACCCCTTTGCTTATCATCGCCATATTTCCTTTGTATTGGGCAGCTGAGCAACATTTCCACAGCTAGGCACACAATATGAACATGGAGAATTCTTTGCTCGTAGGAAATCTGGGGAAAAATTATTTATTTATTTGTCAAGCAAGTATTAGATAACAGGTAAATAAATGCCTCAGGTAAAAGAAGGTCAAGAGGTTGAGTCTGAAGAGAGAGAAGCGGGAGGATCTATTGGGTCAGGAGCAGATCACCTAATACCTCTCCGATGTTTCAGGTTTCCATTCCAGCCTTCGTGGTCAGTGGCAGAGGATTGTGCACATTGTAATCCACCTCATTCAGAGGTCACGTGGGTTGCTCGCCCCCACATATAGATTAAGATGAATTGAAAATATGAAGGAGGTAATGATGCAGAAAATGGTGTGTAAATTAAATTTGCAAAAGGAGAATATGGGGATGAAACCAAGAGTATGTGCAGCAAAAGAGGTAATGTATTTCTTGTCTGGAACCAAGCAGTTTTGTAGTTGTGATGCATTGTCAAGGTCACCGGTTTGAGCTTCTTCTCTGGCCTCAGCTGAAGGACTCTGCTTATCTCTTAGTTCCCTTTTACAGGAAAGGCTTTGTCTGGGCAATGTCTCTTGGCTTGGGGTCTAGGAAACAGCTGCCGATGCCTCATTTGAAATGAAATGAAGTCTGGTTTGAGTTTTAAGCTATATTGCATTTAACACCCTCAAATAACTTAGTTCCAGAGTAGGCCTGCTGATCCAATGCAGAGCCTGCATAAGATGAATTTAATATGAAATGTTTAGAGACTATGTCTAAATCAGGGGTCGGCAACCCGCAGCTCTGGAGCCGCATGCGGCTCTTTCATCCTTCTGCTGCAGCTCCCTGTTGCCGGTCGGCTCCACAATTGATAAGGCATTTGGTTAGGACAGGTAAGCACACTAAGATAAGACTCTATGGTGGGGAACCAGACTCCCGGTCGGCTCCAGAATTGAATGGGGGGCTTGCGGTTAAGATCTTTGTGGTTCTTTGAGTGTTTAAGATTGACCTAAAAGAAGAAAAGAGGCAGCAGAGATGGATTTTAGAGTTTCTTCCTAGGGTTGTCCTTTAAGATCCACCCTCATTCAGGTGTTTATATCATCTCTAAATGTATCCAAGATGTTTATGAGTGCAATACTTTCTGTTTTCTGGGCATCATTATTTACTTGGGTCTTTGACTTGAGTTCAAAATGTCAATAAAATAAAACGAAGATTGGTTGCCAAGCCAGAGTCCAGGTGCCGCCTGCATTAACACAGCTTGCAATACCAAGCTACACCCCCCTTCCCCCCTCCAGATGGTGAGCCGGCAATGCATTGTAGCAGAAACCCTTCTTTTTGATAAAACTGACAGAAAATGTTCAGCGATTACAAAAAAGCTCCTTCGTTGCGAATGTTTTTTTTTTCTTTTTTAACGAGAATTTGCTGTGCATGTTAAATGAGAGGAGCGGGTATTCATTTTTAATTTTGGAGAAGGCTCCGTGTGTGGTGTCTTGCTGGCGCTCTGTGCTGAGCTTGTAATGGAACGTTAATAATTGTGGTTACAAGTTCTGATTGCAATCATTTAGTGAACAGAAATGATAAAATTGTGATGGGTAAACACTTACTCTGAGGTGTCTAATCAGACTCCCAAGCCTGGCGCGCAAGTTTGCTTCCTGGGAATCTTAGTCTTTGTGACATGAAAGAGGAAGGTATAGGTTATGTTGACACAATAAGGTTTAATTCTTCGGCTTTTCCCATAGAATCCTGAAAATTACAGGGTTTCGGTGTTCTCAGGCTGAAATTGTTAATCTCTCTTGTGAACTCTACTTCTGCGGATGGTGATTATTATGGTTGGTCACACAGGCAGCCCGTTGTTTTAGACTGGGTTTGGCATGTTTATCCACCTATTGAGTCCTTCCCAAAGACCTGGGAGGGTCAGATGTTACAAATACTGTCATAAAAAGTATTATTGCAGGATATCTATATATTGCCAAATAAAACTGTCTTTTGCTGTTGTGATTCTGTCAGAGAATCATAGGGCTGGAAGGGACCATGGAGGACTTTTAGTCAGGGGGTGGGCTGCTGGGGTTCGCAGGGGTTCAGGAGAGCCCCTAGGTGCAGTTCGGAGAAGCCCCAAATCCCATTCCTGGCTAGCCCCACCCACCCCTCCCCTCCCCTCCCCTCCCAGGAGTCCCCATGTGGCCTGTTTTGGATGCAGGTAAGTGCAGGGTGCGTGTGGAGGCTCAGATAGGGCGAAAAACGGGCCTCCCGAAGTTCGTGAAGGCCAGAAATGGGCCCATTTCCAGCTTCAAGAGAACCTCCAGAGTCCGGGGATGCCGTTTTCACCCTCCCGGAGGCCTGAGGAAAGCCTCCGGAGCCTGGGGAGGGAAAGTGCCCCCGCCGTGGTGCAAGAGGCCAACTAGACCACGCCAACTAGACCAGAGAACCCTTTGCTTTTTGAAGCCCACCCCTGCTTCTAGTGACTAGTCAAACTCCTCCCCATGGCAGGAGTCCTTGTACCATCCTGGACAAAGGGGTGTCCAGTCTCTTGTCCAGTGATGGATGTCCCACAATTATATGGGGAAAGCTGTTCCACTGATTAATCTGATCGTTCTTAGCATCAGGAATTTCCTCTTTGGTTCTGGGTTGTATCTCCCTCCAACGAGCATCCACCCCTCACTTCTTGTTCTGTCCTCTGATGCTATGGAGAATAAATTGACACCCTGTTCCCTATGATAGCCCTCCAAGTATTGGGAGGTGGCTTTCAGGTCTCCCCTGAGCCTTGGTAGCAGTCAATGCCCATGGTTTTCAAGTGGTACCCCAGCTGTTTTGAAATTGCACACAAAGTGCCTATTACTATTGATACTGTCCTTGCTTTCTTTTGCCACAGTCGTTTTACTTCTACTTGCTAGTATTGTGTGATTCTCTCCAGTTCTTTCTCTCTTATTTTGCTGCCCAAACTATTTTTCTTTTGGTCTTATCAACAGTTGTTAAGTTTGGGGTGTTGTTTGGCAGATGCTTATCTCTTTGAATTCTAAAGCTCGAAGCACTTTAGCGTCTTCATTTTTACAGTACTTTGTCCATTTTGTGGCCCCCATTAGTACTTGCTTCAGACAAGCAGTATTTCTTTGCAGATATTCCAAAGCACAATTGTCGATACTTTGCGGTGTCGTTGTTTGTAATCAATCTGTGTGATCTACCACCAGCAGCTAACTAGATGGTCCATTGTTTTTTCAGCTTTTTTTTTTTTTTACAGAAACAGCATTATTATTATTAGGGGTCTACATGCTTTTTCTCCAAGTTGCATCTTATCCCCACTTTTACAGCCTGAATTATACCATGTGATGACCCGGGGTGTGGCCAAAGGTAACACAGTCAAATAAGCAATAAGAGTCCCTTTATTATCTCTAACTTTTCCCCCAATGTCCAGGTTACCTTCTGCTGGAGAAAAACTCTCCCAGCAACAGCCTTTAACTGTAGAAAATTCAGTCTAAAACAAGGTACATACAAACTGTAACTTAAAATCCAAACAACCAAACTGAAGTAATTAGTCTGACAAGGAAGGAGCAGGAATTTCAGACTTGAAAGCATGGCAAAACTCACACAGTTGGGAAGACGCCAGGAACACAAATAAGTCACAACGATACAAGATAACATCACGTTTGCTCCCAACAGCTTGCTGCACGCAGCTTGCCTTTTTTTATACACTGTGTTCCCAGCCACAGCTAATGAAGGGAATCAGGGCCCTTTCCTCTCCCATAAGCCATTTCTCCATTCCTCCCTGCATGCCCTAGGATGAAGAGGGGGTGGGCCTGGGTCTTCTTCTGAATTCCCTCTCCCCTGCTCTCCCTCTTCCCTACTCTGCCCAGCCAGATTTTGCCCTTCCCCAGTTTCTTCCACAGCCAAAATAAAGGTACTCCTCGACTTACAACTGCACAAGAATCCCCATTGTTAAGCAAGGCAGTTAAGTGAGTCGTGCTCAGCTCTATGACCCTTTCTGCCACAATTGTTAAGTAAATCACACAGTCAAAAAGCGAGTCCGGCTTTCCCCGCTGGTTTTGTTTGTCCGAAGCCATCTGGGAAGGTCGCAAATGGGGATCACGTGACCCCAAGATGCCCCAACTGTCATAAGTATATGCAGGTTGCCAAGTTCCTGAATTTGGTTCATGTGACCATGGAGATGCTCCAATGGTCATAAAAGTATGAAAAACAGTCATAAGTCACTTTTTTCAGTGCTGTGAAACAATGGCTGTAAGTTGTAGACAACCTGTGTCTTCAATTGCTGCTGAAGATCCTCAGTTGAAGCAGAGGTGTCTTCTTGTACAGGTTGCCCTCGACTTACAACAGTTCATTTAGTGACCAATCAAAGTTACAATGGCACTGAAAAAAAATTGGCTGGTGACTGTTTTTCACACTTGCAACCGTTGCAGCGTTTCTCCCGGTCATGTGATCAAAATTCAGCCACTTTTGCGAAGTCTTGGCAACGGATTCATACTTACGATGGTGGCCTTGTCCCGGGGTCATGCTTGATCCCCTTTGGCGACCTTCTGACAAGCAAAGTCAATTAGGATGCCAGATTCACTTCACAACCGCTTTTCTAATTTAACAAAACTACAGTGATTCACTTAACGACTGTGGCAAGAAACATCGTAAAATGGAGCAAAACTCAACTCGAGAAACACCTGACTTGGCAACAGAAATTTTGGGCTCAAATCATGGTTGTAAGTCAAGGCCTGCCTGCCTTATCTGACATGAACAAATCAATCCACTCAAATCAAAGCAAACAAATGCACAGGTATGCTATCTAACAAAATGAAATTCAAAGGTGAAAACAGTAAGGTTCTACATTGAGGCAAGAAAAATCAAATGCACAGGTACAATGTATGTGGTACCTAGCTCAATAGTAGTGACTGTGAGAGGGATCTCAGAGTCCTAGTGGACAATCCCTTAAATTTGAGCCAGCCGCGTCCTGCAGCTGCCAAAAAAGCCAACACAGTTCTAGGCTGCATAAACAGAGGGATAGAATCAAGATCACGGGAAGTGTTAACATCACTTTATAAGGCCTTGGTAAGGCCGCACTTGGAATTCTGCATCCAGTTTTTCTCGCCACGATGTAAAAAACATGTTGAGAGTGCAAAGAAGAGCCAACAAAGATGATGAGGGGACTGGAGGCTAAAACATATGAAGAGCAGTTACTGGAATTGGGTATCTCTAGTTTAATTTTTTAAAAAAGGATTAGGGGTGACGTGATAGCAGTTTTCTGATATCTCAGGGGCTGCCACAAAGAAGAGGGAGTCAAGTTATTCTCCAAAGCACCTGAGGGCAGGACAAGAAGCAATAGGTGAAAACTAATCAAGTTAGAACAATTAATCAGTGGAACAACTTGCCTCCAGAAGTTGTGAATGCTCCAACACTAGAAGTTTTTAAAAAGATGTTGGATAACCATTTGTCTGAAGTGGTGTAGGATTTCCTGCCTAGGCAGAGGGTTGGACTAGAAGACCTCCAAGGTCCCTTCCAACTCTGTTTTTCTATTCTATTCTATTCTATTCTATTCTATTCTATTCTATTCTATTCCTGCAATTTTTAAAATAGTTACAAGAAGTGGAACCTGAACCAGCTGAAAATTTCTCAGCACTAAGAACTGAGACCAGAGCTGTGAGCAGACAGGATGTATTTTTTTGAGTCCTCAGATTTCCTGATGGACCTTTCCCTCTTTTTTTGTCTGGGTCTCTGCACCAGGCTAACCACCAGTGTCCCGTCCTCCCTCACTCCTTTGGCTGAGTTCTCTTGCAAATGCCATCCATCAGAGGGGAAGAAACTGGAAAAGCCGCCACCAAAGCCAGCAACAAGCGTTGCCCCTTTGTCCCGCTGGGCGACTGACCTCCTGTCTCCTTTCTCCTGCCGCGTTGGTCTTAAAATGCCTTTTAGTGAAGTCCTCACTCGCAGGCCTTCTTTGCCTGCTGGTTTCTGTCTTCAGGGCTTAATTTTTGCGGCCTCTGGGGTGCCTCCGCACATCTAAGGGGCCATCGTACCTTGCAAAGACAGGCTGGATGTGCTGTTCCTCTTATTCTTATTCCCTTCCCTCGCAGCACAATAGACACCTTTATGCATGCACCAAGAAGCGTCCATGAGCTAATCTTCTCCCTTGACAAGTGTCACTCACAGGCTGGCTGCTAGAGTCAGAATTCAATGAGGTTGATATTTTCCAGTATTGGACTCAGGTGCATTTCCTCCCTCCTCTTCTCCCCCTTCCCCTTTTCGGCTGACAACATACTTTCTTCACGGAGGAGATTCTTCTCGTGGGTAGCTGTGGGAATCGTTCTCGGGACTGGGTGCAAAACCGAGAGGGAAGGGGTTGAGTAAGGGCAAGCTGCTATAGCTGCATGCATTTGCCTGGTAGGTTTGATTTGGGGGCAATCAGGTGTATTCTCCTTTTCATCAATTGGACACTTTCATGTCATAGATCCAGCAAAAAGTTCCCCTGTTCTGAAATCTTATAAGCTGATCCGCCTGGATCAGTGATGACAGATGCTCTGCAGAGTTTCAGACAGAATAGAGCTGGAAGGGACCTTGGAGATCTTCTAGTCCAACCCTCTGCTCAAACAGGAGACCTTATACATATACTATGCCACGCAAAAAATGACTTTTAAATTAAAGTTGGAAACCTGGGCATTATAGCTTATATAGATGGCAATTCTCCCCCCTCCCCTCCCCGAGTTATTCATTAGTCTGCCTTTTAGGTTTCTATCTACAGATTTTGAGTCTTGGTACATCAAAAAAGGGCTGCCATCTGAATTGTAGTTGATGTTGCTGATGTTGTTGTTGTTGTTGTCATCGCACAGTCAGCTAGATATTCAGACTGAGTTTGGCATTTTGCTGTACCTGTCGAGTCCTTACCAAGGACCTGGGGTAGGCAGATCTAGATGCAGGATGGAAGCTGTTCCAAGCAAAGCCGCCTTCTGCAATTGACCGATGGTGAATTGGTCAATGCCAATAATGTTCAAGTGGTGCTCCAGTTGTTTTGGGATTGCACGCAGGGGGCCTATTACTATCAGTCCTACCTTTGCTTGCTTTTGCCACCGTCTTTCTATTTCTGTTGTTGTTGTAGTTGTTATTATTAATTTGATTCTGATACAAACTTTCAACATAATGTTGTGCCATAGCCCTCTGCCACTGCGGATGCCCTCTTTTAAGGCTTTTAAGTTTCACAACACTTTTAAGTTTCTCCCCTCCAATGTTAGTGAATTGATTGTCCGCTGGGCAACTTCTGGCCCCCGTCATGCTTGTGGAGGAAAACAATACGGTCATTTCTGCAAAGGGGAAAAAAAAACACCAAAATAAGCAGAAGCCACTACTAAGATCCTCCTCCTCCTCCATGAAATGGAGCCCTTTCTGCACCGAGTGATCTTCGGAACCATTCATCTTCCAGGACCCTGGGAGAGGGGGGAAGACAGAATTGCAGTTAGAAGTTAACAAATGCCATAAATAAAACAATTAATAGCAGGTGGGCAGGTCAGTTGTTTGCAGCAGGTCTCATCCAGGTGCTGAGAGACCAGTCCGTGGTGGGGCCCACTGTGTTATTTATAGTTTTCCATATTTCAGCTGATCCGTGGGTGGATCCCACTGTCATTAAGCTCTTGCTCAGCTCAAAATTGATCTCTTTCTGCAACAGGATTTCTCACCTGGCCCTCTGGCAGATGCAGAAAACTCTGGATGGCAGAAGTATATATTATCTAGCCCCGGTTCCCTGTTGCCTCTAACTTCTTTCTGCAATTCTGAGCTGGGTAATGAAGAAATATTGCTCCTCTGTTCTCGTCTTGGTCTTTCATAAAATAATTCCTTGCCAGGTGATCTTTTCCAAGTCTATATTTGTTTTTGTTTTTTTCTTTTCGCTTGCACTTAAGACAGTTGAGTTGATGCTGTAAAGGAATTGTCTCTTTTGCCTATCCCATTATTCATGCACCTGCTTTCTTGTTTACACCACTAGCTTTGGCAGCTGGCCACTGTAAACTGTAATAAAACGCCTTTTTAAAAAAAAATAATGAAGAAATGTGACCAGGCACGCTGGGCATAATAATATTAAAGCTGGCGTCAATTAATTTTTGCCTTTCCTCGATAAACGAGCTCCCATTCCGTCCATTAATAACTAGAAAAGCAGCAAGAAAAGTTGACACGCTTTTAATTTATTTTCTCAACTTGCCTGGTCATATCTCTCCCTGCTTCTAATGCTGGTGGGAATTGCAAGTGGCTTTCGCATAGTCAATGCCTAGATTGGTGTGAATCAATACGGCTCTGCTTTATTCACACTCCCCCATAATCAGGAGGAGAATGTTAGTTAGTGAGCTATCTAGCACCTGAGGCTGTCAAATCTGCCTGAGAATAATCATGCAAAGTCCCACATGTTGCACAGATGTTGGGGAGCAGAGATAGGAAGCACAGAGTGAAATGTCCTGTGACCTTACAAAGAAGGTTGCAAAACATACGGCAGATGGTAAGAGAAAATTTAATCAAAGGCCTCTCTCTCTATCTAGGTCAGAAGTGGTATTCAGCCAGTTCTGACAGGTTCTGGAGAACTAATAGTGGAAATTTTGAGCAGTTCGGAGAACCGGCAAATCCCACCTCTGACTGGCCCCGCCCCCATCTATTCTCTGCTTCCCAGCTAATCGGCTGGGTCTTATTTGGTTGCCCTGCACAGGAGAAAGCAGGTTAGTGGGGTGGGGAGAGAATGGGGATTTTACAGTATCCTTCCCCTGCCACACCCACCAAGCCACGCCATGCCCACCAAACCACACCCACAGAACCGGTAGTAAAAAAATTTGAATACCACCACTGATCTAGGTTGACTCCAGATTCTTGTCCCTGTGGTCTTTCTGCGCCATTCAACGTTGCATAGGAATTTGTAGACAAAAGAGGAATGTTAGCCTCTTTTAGTCATTCGTTTGTGCCAAACGTGTATTCAGCATCCTCTGCAAGGTAACTGGTAGGGACAGAAAAGGTATTAATTCTGAAAAGGTATCACAGGCAGTCCTCGATTTACGAACACAGTTAGAACCAGAATTTCCATAGCAATAGCACTTAGACTTATATACCACTTCTCAGTGCTTTACAGCCCTTTCTAAGCGGTTTACAGAGTGAGCCTATTGCCCTCAACAATCTGGATCCTCATTTTACCAACCTTGGAAGGATGGAAGGCTGAGTCAACCTTGAGCCTGATGAGATTTGAACTGCCAAATTGCAGGCAGCCGGCAGTCAGCAGAAGTAGCCTGCAGTACTGCACTATAACCACTGCGCCACCACGGCTCTTAAGCATGATGGTTATATGAGTTGTGCTAGATTTTATGATTTTTTTTCCTGATAGCTGAGGAAATTACTGCAGTTGTTAACTGAATCACACAATTGTCAAGCAAATCTGATTCCCCCGCCCCATTGACTCTGCTTGTTGGAAGCTGGCTGGGAAGGTCCCAAGTGGCAATCACATGACCTGTCATACCGTATATTACTTTTTTCAGTGTCATTATAACTTTGAGTGGTTGCTAAACGAATCAAAGGCTACTTGTATTATTATTTCCCATATTAAATTTATATGCTGCCTTAACTCCCAACGACTCTGCGCAGTCCTGATACTAAGGCAAAATCCTCTCCGCCCTTTCTGTTTTATCATTGGAAAACAAAACCAATTAGGTTCTTTGGAATAAAAACAGCCAAAATTTACTACAATTTTTTTTTAAGTTTCAGTTTCTTTCTATTGCAATATCTTCATGAAATAATCGCAACAATTTGGTTTTTTCTTAAAAATTATTTGGAATGATAACACTCCTAGAACTAAACCGGTCGAATGGGAAATAAAATAAGGAAAATTTGAAATTTGAAATTGTGTTATGTAGGAAGATGTTTTATTTGGATTATCAACTAATTAGGAGGGCCTATTTCTCAACTTTCCTGTCTGGAAAAGTATAGAACATTTTGCAGGAATACTATTCCAGATCTGGGGATGGAGTCAAAAGAGTGGTCAGCTTGGAATCCCTATGTAGCCATAAGTGAGCTAGGTTCAATCCGCTTGAATTCCATTGATACCTATCTAATTCCAAGCAGGTGCTATCTGTTAGTTGGGAAGATTCCTATGCAGAGACATAATTAACAATAATTACTTTAATTAGACCTTCACACGTGGTTTTGGTCTTTTTTATCAGCGTCTGATATAAACTGAATACTTTCTATTATCAAGCATCATTCTTTAGTATCAGCAGCAACCGCAGCGATCAACAATTTAGAATCATATGCTAATGTCAGTTTTGAATCTGAATAGAAGATTATATCACTAATCAAAATAAAAGAGTTTGTGACTCTAATCTGAATATCATTTAATATTTTTTTAAAAAACTTTTCAACTCATGACTTTTTGTAAATTTTATCAGCTCCTTCCAATCTTACTCAGTCTTCCCTCTTCTTTCAACTTATTCTTTCTTCCTTTATATATTTGATATATTTAATTTTTAGATCCACATGCTTTATTACATCATGCATTTTAATGTCTGCGGCAAAGAACACAGCATTTTCTGCATACCGAAACACAGTCACATTCATAGCCTAACCTAGTGTTTTTCGAACTTGGCAACTTTTGGGACTTCAACTCCCAGAATTCCCCGGGGTTGTGTTTTTTGTTGTTGTTGTCAGTCACTAAGACATTTTCTGACTCTTTGCAGCCCCATGGACTTAAAATCCAAAGATGCCACACCAGGACCCCCTGTCCTCTATTGTCTCCCAGAGTTTGCCCAAATTAATGTTCATTGCATCAATGACACCATCTATCATTCAGAAGGAGGAAAGAAACAATGTCCTCTACAAAATCAACTGTAACCATTGCAACCAATTCTACATGGGGACCAGCATCACGTCAATTAAAACCCAGGATCCACAAACACTGGCTGGCAGTCAAACGCCATGATCCCAAATCCTTAATCTCTACCCACACCCGACACCAAACAGTACCAGTTCAATTGGAGCAGCACAAAGCCTGGCACTCCACAAGCAATTCCATCAA